ATATTCAGAAGGTTCATTCAAGTAGACAAGTGTACATGCATGTATTATATTACTGAATGTGAAAACTGAGTACTTACCTTTGCCTGTCCCCCAGAGAGCTTGCAGTAAGTTCCACCTTGCCAGTATAGGGTCTCTTTCATCCCCATACACATTACAGTTAAACACGGCATTGTACAGAGCCTCCACAGGATTTGGTGGAACCTGCTGTTGTGGTTGGATTAATCCTGTCAGTTAACAAACCATTAATGAAGATTAAAAGACCCATTTTAATATGTAGCAACATACGAGGTGCGATCGGAAAGTTTCAAGACTGTGTCAATAGCGGGCGAACCGGATGTAGTACGAGCTTCTGCCTTTAGGGGGTGCGGCCTACATTCATAGTGAATCAGTGTGCCAGCCGGCATCATCGAATTAGCATTTGTTTCTTAGTTACGGGCGTTTTTGTAGTGCATTACACCGACCCTCCTGCGCTTTCGGAATGGCGTGTGCATCAAATTTTGCCAAAGACTCGCCAAAACGGCTACGGAAACCTATGAAATGCTAAAGCAAGCATTTGGGGAGTCCGCAATGGGTCGTGCACAAACTTTTGTGTGGCATTCACGTTTTAAAAATGGCCGAACCTCTGTCGATGATGACGAGCGTTCTGGACGACCATCTTCGCGCACAACGCCCGAAAATGTTACGAAGATCGACGTCGTACCATCAACGACTTGTGCGACATTGTTGGGATAGGCTATGGGACCTGTCAGCTGATTCTAAAGGAAGAACTCCACATGCGACGCATCATGACAACGCACCAGCGCACACCGCCTTCAAAGTTCGGCAGTTTTTGGCCTCAGACACCATGGCCGTCATCCCACACCATCCTTATTCGTCGTGTGACTTCTTCCTCTTCCCAAAGATGAAAATTCAGCTCAAGGGAAGGAGATTTGAGACGATAGAAGAGATTCAGGCAGAATCGCAGATGGTGCTTGACAGGCTGACAAAGAAAGATTTCCAGGGATGCTTCCAGGCCTGGCAGCGGCGCTGGGATCGTTGTGTTCACTCCCAGGGGAACTACTTCGAGGGTGATGGATGAATTTAATACCTGAGGTAAGTGTACAGGTTTTTATAGGCGCAGTCTAGAAACTTTCCGATCGCACCTCGTATCTACAACAAGACTCTCTTTGTTATTACTACTAACTAATGGTGTTTCATACTTATTACGTGTTAAATTTTGTTGCAAGGTTACCTGTTCTTCTTAGACTACTACATTTATAAGCAAAAGTAGAAAGAATAAAAATAATTCTACCTTGTCCAAATGCTAAACTACCAGCGCCAGTACCAAATCCTCCAAAAGAACCTAGCATGGGTGCCTGCTGCTGTTTTACACCAAAACTTCCAAATCCTCCAAATCCTAGAAAGCATATATAAATGGAATAATCGCATATAAAGTAACTGTTTTGGTTCACATGACACAATATAAACTGAAAACATTAGTCACATTTTAAACCCTCTGTCATTACTGTAATAAAAGTCACTGTGCGTTTGTTTGAGCATGTCTTGATATGCCATCAATAGAACAGGAAGAATAATACACTAAATGCAATATTCTTCTGTGATATCTGGTAATATAATCTAGTAGAGTAGAACCAAATTCTTAAATAACTGAAGACACTGAATCGGTTTTAAAATGTATTTTCACATGCCTTGAGCATGTGTTTGACCTGTGACATTTCTTAAATTTCAGTTCCATTTCACCTCAATTTATAGTTCACAGAATTACAAACTGAATTTTAAGCAAATTTTATCAACTTGAAATCAGATTTAGTTTTAGTTCTTGGCTGCCGTACGCATCTTGTTCCTAAAAATTTAAAAATGTTATCATAAATGTGAGTCAATTAGTTCTTTGGTCAGAAAACCCTTTACATTGCAGAGAAAGTGTTTCAATGTACATAATATTGGCATTTCAATTTCAGAGGAATGTAACTTATTTTCAATCAAATTTCACTGCATGAAATATACATGACTCAAATACTTCAAGGTATCACAAAGTCCCTTTGCATTGGCAACAAAGTCTTCTAACAACATTTGTTTTCGCACGGTGGAGAGCATGAGGAAATCCATGAAAACCTCAGTCAGGATGACCAGTCTCTAGGCAAAGATTTGGAACTGGGACAATGCAAATATGAAGCAAGAGTACTAACCACTCAGCTGTAACATTCAATCTCTTTAACAATAGTTCAATATCTTAATACCATGTTTAATGGCTGAGGTTTTGATATAGCATGGCCTCCTCGAACCCCAGACCTGTCAAAACGCAATTTTTCAGTGTTGGTTACCATGAATGAGAAATTCTCTAACTGTACCTAATAAATGTTCAAGATCTAGAAACATTCACAAAGGATGGAAGAAAAGTCTACAAATCATGGACACAGATGAAATAATGAAGAGAAGGTGACTTAAATTGTAATTTCACTGCAAAGGGACTTTTGTGGTCACTCTGTATATGAAAAAGCACCTATATGTAATGCTCTCTGCAGTTTAGCAATGTAATAATTACAATATGTAGAAGCTCTTCCTTTTTCACCTAATTTAAATAGTTACTTTAATGGGATTTCTCTTGTAACTACATGAGCCTTACCCAAATTTGCAGTGGTTGTTTGTGGTTGGCCAAATAAGGGCCTTGTAGTTGGAGTTAATTGAAAAGAACTCTGAGTTGTGGGAGCAGTGTTTCCAGTACTCCCAAATCCTCCAAACCCTCCAAATGGGCTGCCACTTGCCATCGTTGTAGTGATGGCTGTTGCTGGATTAGAAGTGAAACTACTTCCAAATCCACCAAAACCACCTGTTGTTCCAGTAGGGGCAATGGATGAACTGAGACCCCCAAAACTGAAACCTGAACTTGTAGTAGTTGTGCCACTGCCTAGGCCAAAACTAGGAGCTGTAGATGTTGCACCACCAAAAGAGAAGCCAGTGTTACCAAATCCAGCTGAAAGAAAAAGCTGTATTTTAAAAGTTTAACATTTAAGACTGAGAAATCCAAATAGAGCAAAAAATCAAATCTTACAATAGAAAGCATTTGGTTTACTTGTTCTCACTCACATGACTGTCAGTACCATTGAGACATATATATTCCCTATACTTGGGACTTAATTAACATCATTGTTACTGACTGTAAAAAAAATTCTGTGATTTCCACACTTCAGGCATTTGAACTTCCCTCTTCTTTGTGTAAGCTGCTTTAATTTATTAGTTTTAAATAATTCTTATATTTTGCCTTGTGTATGCATGAGAATATTTGTTTACTTGTTTATTAATTTATATTTATTTATGTGTCATTATTTATATATAAGAATTCATATTTTAATTCAAATTAATGTACAGCCAATCAAAAATCTTGTATTTCAACAAGTCAACACAAGTATGAGAAATTAAGAGTACAAATAACCAGGAAATACATTAAGATGGGGAAGACTGCAAGTTTCAACTAGGAAGCTTTAATCATGTCAGTAAGAATTGAATTGAATTAAATGTTAACATATCAGCAGAGATAAGTTAAAGTTGTCTGTTTTCATGACATAGTATGTCTTAATGAAACAGCAGTAGTTAAAATTAAAACTTTTTTAAGGAACAAAAATAAATAAAAAGTAAAACAAGGATGAGACTGGATAAAATAAAAACTTTGAGCCATTCAAATTTCTGATTCTATACAATGTTTGTGAATCAAATTTTGAAACCAGTAAACATTCCTAAGATTTTTTGTAGTTTTCTTGTGCATAAAAAAGCAACTGAGTGCCTTAAATTTGAAGCCTCAAATCACATATTGATATTAAAACTACTGGAGAATGAAAAAAAGTTGTGTGAAGTGGATATAAATAGCAGGAAAACTGAAAACAATATTTGCTGAATAGTCCATTTAGAAAAGATGTATTCCACAAAACCAATTTTTTTCTTCATTCACATTTTTTACCTATTTTGTAGGTTTTATGATTCATCTATTTTTTTGGACATTGGCAGAACTCCTTGCATGAATGGCTTCTGCCTATAGGAACATAGAAAGATGCGGACAAACATCCATACCTTGAGTGGGACTCAAACCCACAGTCGCAGCGGCCAGGCGCACGAGGTCCATGCCTCAGACCGTGTGGCCACTGAGCCGGCATTCCACAAAACCAATTAAATTCATTTATTTAAGTGTTACATGTAATTCAATTCAGTTCATTTATTTGATAGCAATAGTAATAGTATTTCACACACACATATAATTTCTATACATAATAAAAATTATTAGTGAGGTTATTTGTTTGAATTGTGTTATTTTTGTGGTGTTGATTTTGTATCTTTTATGTTTAGTTTAGTTACCAACACTTTGCATAGGTTATACATTGTCAGATGTTTGTAATGAAATTACAGTTGTCTGTTTTAAGATGCTTTTCCAGCATATGCATCAAGAGATTGAGGAAAAAATCAGTCTGTTAGCTTGTCTCCAGGTCATTAACTGAACCTGAGATCTCCACAGATATTAAGCAACAGTGCTGACTCAACCACAATATTCAGTGACATGGATTTCTGTCTCTCTTTGTAAGTCAGGAAATGGAACCACAAGAGGAAATATATGATACCACAGGAAGACAAAGTGTTTACATCCTTCCCACTATGTTTTACATATTTTCAGACCAACAACAGCCCATTTGCAAGTCTTGTTGTTTTCAGGTATGAATTAATTTGAAGTAGAGAAAACATAATGTATACATGTTTCATAAATGTATGTACTGCTTTCAGAACTTAGTAACCAAGATGGAAATTGAAAGAACACTAGAAATCACCATATCAGTCATCCATCAGATTGTGTAATTCTTTCTTTAAAATCAGCACACCTCTCATATATGTTTTGATAATTACCTTTTGATTTTAATACAGTGTTTGTTTTCAGCAGATCATGATGAAGGCTGTGTGTTTTCTAATGGCTTTAACTGCATTTGGGTGTGCATTGGGTCAAAGGAAAGGAATAACTGTAGCACCAACAAGGGACACGTTTAGCATACAAACAGTTCCAGCTTGTCCAGAGATATGTAACTGTACAAGAATGGATCTGCATAGTGCCTTCAAAAAGGCAATCTGTCCCAGGATACCAAGTTCTCTGCATTACAACATCAAGTCATTACAGGTATATAACTTGCACTAATATATCTCTGCTAACTAGGTAACTCCATATGCAGAATTCTCCTTAAGCAGTTGACAGTTATGGAAGTTGTCAAATCCTGTTTTTATGAACCCTGAAAGTTTGTCAACATGTTCACAAAAATCTGTCACTTGACATCCTGATTCAGTTAAATACTATCCAGACCTTTACACCCTCATTCTTTAAGCTCCAGATACATGTCTTACTTCAGGTTTAGGAAATTATATATAGTAATTAAGAGTGAAAGTCAAGGATATAATACATCTTTATTACAGGTAATTGGAGACATCTATTCTGTTACACGTGAACAGATATTACAGATTGGAGGAGAACTGTATATGCTTGATTTGAGTGGCTGCAACATTATCAACATTGAACAAGGTGCATTTAATTCAATGAATAATCTTGTCAGCCTGAAATTGTCCAATAACAACATCAAGGAAATTAGCAGCGGAATGTTTTCATCTTCTCATCTGAAAGTTATTTATCTGGATGGAAATAATTTGGAGAACATAGAGAATGATGCATTTTCCCAACTTAAAACACTTCAGAAGCTATATCTGCAACACAATAAACTTCTGGACATTCCCATTACATTTCCAGGCTCACTGAATATACTAGATATTTCCCACAACCATATTTCAACTATTACTATGGATTTGAGCAAGGTAAGATTTTGTGCTCCAAAATACAAGAAATGTGTATTTGAATTTGATATATATATATATATATATATATATATATATATTTTTCCCAAATGTATTTTGTATTCCTCACTGACCGTATTCATTTACATGTGTACAAAATATATGTCATTTGTAAACATTACAGAGTTAATCCATTATATTGCACAGATACAATTTATTTTATCCTTGCATTTTATGAAATATATGTCAATATCAGAAACCATTTCAAGTAAAGTTACAGACCTTAATGAGATTTACATGTTGTGTGTCAATTATTTATGTATGATGAATCATTTTTCATAAATCTGATTTTAAATTATACTGGTCTTCATTTAAAGTGTGGTTAATTTACTAATGTGGCCCATAATGAAATCTGCCTGACAAATTTTATTGTAGACTCCAGTACCCAGGTCTTATGGAACATTCAATGATACTGGAGATTAAACATGCAGACAGAGACACAAACATTATGGTTAATTTCATTCTCTTTGTGCATAGGATACTTTAGAAATAGCAAAACAGAAATCTGGTGATCACAATTAACCCGTTATGGTGTACACCAGACTAGTTTTAAAAGGAAAAATTGTCGGTGCATCTGTCCCATTATAATTACGGAAGAATTTGCCAATTTGTTTGAAACTATTAGAAAGGTCATGCAATTGTTGGTCATTCTGACTCCATGTTTTAAATCCTCAAATCTCATAATTTAAATTCCAGTGGTGCCACATGCTTTAACAATCGTAACTCTGTATTTTGGTCACAGAATATACTTATGGATTTCATATGAATCTCAGAGTAGACAATGAGTATTTCCTTAGACAATATTTAGAACTGAATTTTTAAATATTATTTAGCAGCATCAAAGGAAAAATGGGTGAAAATAAAAAATAAATTTCATACCATAGAGAAAATTACTCCTGTTTTGTATTTTGGAAGTACCTAGTTAGAACTTCAGATTGCAGACAGATGATCCTACATGAGGTCACTGATATCCAGATACTTACTAGAAGTTTTAAAACAGATCAAACCACTTTTCTTCCACATTCTTCCCAACTAACCTTACATCAGTATTTTTGTATCCCATTTGAATCTACATAACCTCAGTAGTTTATGTGAAATTGCACACAGAACTAAACAAAACTGGAATTTGTGGCAATTGATAAACTAGTAATGGGTCACATTAGTTTCTGGCCAATCATAATTCGAATTTAGGGCTTTACATCTGACCTGGCTCTTAGCTGGATTCAGAATACGAAAGACAGCATATCTCGGTCAATAAGTAACTAGCTACAGGCTGGATGGACAGGGTTCAGTATCCCATAAGGGACGGGATTTTTCTCCTTGCCATAACATTCAGACTACCTCCAGGATCTACCCAGATTTTAATTCAGTATTATAGGGAGGGTGGTCAGAGCATGATGCTGACCACTTGCCTCCATTTAATGCATGTTTTGCAATACAAGCCGTCACAGTGGCCGTGTGGTCGCTTGGACCGTGGGTTCGAATCCCACTCAAGCCATGGATGTTTGTGTTTTTCTGTGTTGTGCTGTCCTGTGTATAGGTAGAGGCCTTGTGACGGGCTGATCACTCGTCCAAGGAGTCCTACCAGCTGTCTAATAGATCAAAGCCAATGAAAAGTTGGGACCCACGGATGCTCAAGGCACTGAAGAACGGGTCGCCTAAGTAAGTATTCCTATACAATTTCATGGCAAGATGCTTTAGCACAAGAAAAATTTCATCTTCACTTATGACCTGGTTCTTGACTAGGCTTAGAGTAGAAAAGTTTAGTTTAGTATATTATAAATTCTTTCTTATTTTACCACATATAACTTACCAGGCTTTTCCTTTGTTATACAAACATTTTATTTACTATAACCATTAATATTGGTCTGGTGTCTCAACAGATAAATCTGAAGACCTTGGATCTATGTGGAAATCCACTAAATGGATTCCCTTCTATAAAGTCATCAAGAACACTGGAAACTATTTGTCTTGAAGGCAAAGCTGCTGTTCTGCCATATCACACAGCTGCTAATTTTCCTCAACTTGCAGATATTACTTTGGTGGCATTAACTCATCCTTTCCGGGCTGAGCTTGATTCAACAACACAGTCTGAGTTGAGTAAAGTGAAGAAACTGATTACTCTCTCCATTGGTAAGATTACTGTACAGTTTATAAGGAAAGTTATGATCATACCGTCAACTGACATTTCCACCAGGACAAAGACTTCATTCATCATTCTCCCTGCACTCCCATCAGCAAGGCTCATATGTTCACTACTTTCTTATTGTATTTTAAGTGTCTTTCTTCCCCCTCTCTCTTCCTCTCTCCACTTACTACTTGATCTCCCTAATGAATTCTACTGTCATCTGTGTGCAACATGTCCAAACTACTGTATCGTGATGTAGCAGTCACTTTAGGCTGGGGCCACACGACCATACAAAGTATGTCCGTTGTAATGCACATCGTGACGTCCGTCATAGAATTATGAAGGGGTAAGACCACAGAACACAACAGCTTCTTCCGGCTACATTGGGGCAACTGACGCATCACACTGCACTCGTGTTGCAACGGACGTACTTTGTATGGTCGTGTGGCCAAGGTCTTAGACTTGTATTCAGGAGGTACTTGATCTGTAGCATAGCAGGACTACTGGCTATTGTGACAAGTTGTCCAAGGAGTTTCATCTCATCAAATTAATGCCAGGATAGTATGTTTGAATAGGCTGTGGCCCATTCCTTTCAAACTCCTTACATTCTCATTATTCATTATCATCTTTTCATTTCATTTGATGCTACATAACCAGGTGTGACTACAGACAAATAAATTAATGGATACCAGCAACAAATACATTTCTAGCATGTCCAAATTTATTAACTTTAACAAGTTATTTATTATTATGTGTAAGATGCAGGTAACATTTTAAAGAATGTTTATTGCACTGAAATGGGATTTAACACACTGTCTCCCAAGCAGTTTTTGTCAGGTATACATTTTGTCACATGACCCACCAGCGACCCTAAACAAAATTTAAGAACTCTTCTTGTATGAACCATGTGATACTCCAGTGGCTATCCTGTCCCAGCTGTGGTGTTAGAAATACATCATTTCACTCTATGAAAACTGAGCCTTCATATAATGATATAGTCATGTGACCCACTAGTGTTTCTGACAATACTCAAATTAATTCTCATGGTAGCCAGTGTGTTATGCCCCCATATATGGGGCTCTTCGCTCAACTTAACTGCAGGGTTTAATGGTTTGAAATATGCTGCTGTAACCCATGGACAGCTGGACCACAGAGTCAAAGTTAACCAGCTGTCTTTTGCAATCATTTTTCCCTTGGGTTTCCTCAGTCAGGCTTTTTTTATTCTCCTCTGATGAATTTACTATAATGATTACCAATAATATTTCCATCTATTTGTATTTTTGTATGGTTTTAAATTTTGCTTTTTGGCTGTAATGGTCCAGATCTGAAAATGTTTAAAGTTAAATTTTACTTCTCAATGTGTTCTTATTACTCTGTGAAAGCACCTGAACAGTAATAGCCACCTTCTTATAACATCTCTCAGAACATGTTTCAGACTTAGTTTCCAGGAATTCCAAGCAAAGAATGTAATGCTGGGCTTTTTTATTAACTGCTCTACAACTTGTACATCTGTTCAACTTTTGTTCCCTGATCTTAACATTTAATGTTAATATGGGGTTTTAAATGCGTTCTGCAATATATTTATGTGAAGCACACTGCTAAACTGTATAGTGACTAGCTACGGGCTGGACGGCCGGGGTTCGATCCCCGACGGAGGCAGAGGATTTTTCCTCTAGCCTCTGCGTCCAGACCGGCTCTGGGGCCCACCCAGCCTCCTATCCAATGGGTACCGGGGTCCTTTCCCGGGGGTAAAGCCGGCCGGGGCGTGATGCTGACCACTCACCCCCATCCAGTGCCGAGGTCAAGGAAGAGAGGAGCTATACCTCCACTCACCCCAAACGCCTAGATGGCGTATAGTGGGACAAACTTTACTTTACTTTTACACTGCTAAACTGTGGGTAAGTGAATTTTATTAAGTGTGTAAAAAACTTACTTTGTATTTCTGGAGCCCTGTATGAAGTCCACTTAGGTGAAACAGGATCATCAACTAACCCAAAAATCAATGTAAAAGGGGTTATCTAAAACATACTTAAATCTTTTCTTTTAGTCAACTACCATATTCAGAATCTGTCATTCCTTACTGGTATGAAGAACTTGGCCAGCTTGAAGCTACAAAACATCACGTTACAATCATATCATGGCATTGACAAAGTTATTGAAAGCCTGGAGATACTGTCAAATCTTAGTTTGGACCAAAGTACACATCTTGTCAAGCCAATACTTACAAATGAACAGTTGGTGTCTCAGTTAACAAGACTTCATTATTTGAGTTTGAGACACACACAGCTTGTAAGTCTGACACAAGAGAATATCCCAGAAAATACTCGTCTTGATATTAGTTACAATCCCCTGCACTGTGACTGCCATCTTGTGTGGATACAGTATAGAGAAAGAGACACTCTTGGAAAGTTTCTACTCTCAAAGAAAGAAACAACATGTGAAATGCCAAACAATGCTGAAGGGCATATGTTGCTGGAGAGTGTTAGCCCAGCATGTAATGAAGAGCATACAGCTGGAGTACTGGAACAGACTTCTGATAATCCTGAGTGGATGTACACTTCTGATGCCTACCTCAGCAGTACTTCCACAGAGGTACCAATAAAAGACAGGCTGACTAATATTTCCACTGCCTCCAATGGTACAAACATTGGTAAGTCTGTTGATAACACAACTATATATATTGTTCTTGGCATTGTCCTGATAATTCTCATAATTGTAGGAACTGCTCTAGCTGTGACTCTTTCCATTTTGAAACGTAAGAGGAAATGCCAAATTTCTCCTAATGGAGGTGAAACTCCAATGGAACAGCAGCATCAGCAAATGAAGCAAGCTTCGTCAAAAGATATGCTAATCAAGAAATAATTTTGAGGACAAGTCAATATCCTAGCCAGGACTAACCATACAAAATAAATGATTATGATACATTTTCTTAAAAGTGTCTTATGTTGCATTGATTTTGAAGTATTTTAATAAAGTTTACAAAAATATTACTGTGAACCTGAAAACTATAATTACTAAGATGTCAACTCTTTGCAACTGATTTGTATAAATGATACCTGTGTTAAATTATTTAACTGAACCTTGTTCTACTATTGTTTATTATAAAGTAGTATTACATGGTAACTGCATCTTTAACTTTGTCACTGTTAGTGAAAATATATTTGATGTCAGCACTGAGAATTATATGTATTTAAATACAACACACTATGAGATAAGAAATTTACCATAGCTTTGAATGAACACAACATAAGTTATTCATAATCAAAATAATACTAATAAGACAAGAATATTTTGTTATTCTACACAGGAAAGTTGGTGCTTTTCAAAAGAGGTACAGTTTTCTTTTCTGAGTCTAATATACATTATAAAACATTTGCCCATCTGTTTGTAAACTCCTCAATGACCCTGATAATGTAGTACTTTATCACTGCTGTTGATGGTGATGCAATGATAATTTCAAGATGTTCTGTTATTTCACTGAAAATGGCTTTTGTCCCAAACAAAGCAACAGTTATGCTGTGGGCTTTACTTACATCTTTATGTCCATACAAACAGTTATCCACAATATAAGACCAATTTACAGATATAACCTTCATGTGCCAAATTCTAACCTCAGTAACTATCAAAAGTTTAAATCATGCTATAAAAATGTTTGAGCCAGAGTTAAAAAGAGTATCTCCTATCTCACCCCTCATACTCAACAGAAGAATTTCTTCTTCTATGGCGCGACAGCCTGAAGTCAAGCCTTGGCCTCCTTAGTAGAAGAATTTACATCACCCAAAAAGTCTCAACTATTATAAATACATGTAAGTAATAATGGTGATGGTTTCTCATCATAATTTTGCTATAATACTGTAGTTCAAAAAAATCTTTAAATAGCTGTTATAAGTATGTATTTATATTTGTACTAGAAACAAGTATTGTATTTGTGCTATGACCTGTTTTACATCCTTGGCTTAGGCCTATGAAGGATCTATGGAATGTAAATAAATTCTATTCTACAGTTTATTTATTTTAAAACATATTTGACTGCTGTATTCATTTCCCTGCAGTTTATAAATGATTGCATTTGGTGGCAATTCATAATACATTAACCATTATATTTCTTCCTTTATAACTTAAGAAAGCAAGTCTTGGGGATGAGTTTCAGTAATCCCTTCCATATACTAACTTCTGCATGGAAAAAGTGCCAATGTGCATTAGTATAGTGATACATTAGCATGCTGTTTTCTAGCTTATTACTAGCATTTCAGAGGAATGTATTTCCTCCATGTTCTACCCTGAACATAACCCAGAAGACAATATCAACTCTCAAGGCCTTGAAAACCTCAATCATTCGTTTGTAGCAAGTTTTATACAGTCCTAGAGACAGACCACACTACCACCTGATTTGGAGTCTATTAAACCATCCAACAACGTGCAACACGATTAAATACATACAAAACCCTTGACGAGGACTGAAAGATATGTGCATCGAGGTAAATTATGTATTTGCACTTACATAAATGCAGTGCGCTGCGATTTAATCCGATGGGAGGAATAAAAAGTCCGGGAATAGAGGTTACAAACTGAACCGACCTTTCGTTGTAGTGGCTGTATTTCCCACTCCGAAACCAAATGTCGGTGCTGCGGATGACGTTGCTGATGGAAAGCCAGGGGTAGATCCTAAACTAAAAGCCATCGTTATATGTGAATAGCAGAAACTGAATAAATGTGTTAAAAATACTAGAATATAACCTCTTCCCTTATTGTTAGTCACATTATACAACAGTGTGACCACTGTACCGTCGACATTGTAGTTTCCCTTCTGTAGGCTAAAATTTCTTACGCATCCCACGATGATGATAATAGGTCTGAATATCCCTTTAAACCTTAGTTTGTGTTCTGTAGATAAATGTGAGGTAAACAATGTTGTAGCTTTATCAGGTGTTCTTTATGCTTTACAGTAAGCAAAGAACACCTTATACGTATGATCTTGAGGTTTCACGGCGACTTGGTATAATAAGCCTCCCTCCAGCTACCAGCCTGTTAACCTTACATGGCTGATAATTTGAGAGAACATTATTACTTTGTAGGTAGTACAATCCCATTATTTACTAAATTTTATTTTATTTTAGGGCCTACTAAGGTTATGGCCTTCGTATTCAATTTTGGCTCTAACTCGACGCTACATATGGTCTGAGCTGCTGATATTGTCATTAAATGAACCATAAACTTGTACACACATAAGAATGAATTTTTTATCTGTGGTTTGGGAACTTCTTGTAATGTTGGTAACAGAAGAAGTATGACGTAAGGGGTCATGTTCCAGGCGATTCCGCTTTGTGTACTTGCAATTGGAATACAACGATGGTACAAAATGTTGCCTGTAGTTCGACAAATTATTAGTTCTTCGTTGTTACGGTCAGGTACAGCGTTAATTGGAGTGTAAAGTACTATATATATATATATATATATATATATATGCAATGTATTTGTTATGTGTAATGTTTTATTGTGTAAATTAATAGAGCTGATAGAAGAATGTACTTTTTTAATAGTCTTAGTAGTAGTAGTGGTGGTGGTGGAGTAGAAGGAATTAGTAATGGGTGTTCGTTGTTGCTGAAGTAGTGTTTTTTGTTTCAAGTCTCAAGTATTGGGTTTTTTTGGAACACTAACTGTGCATGTTCCACCAAAACGACTACCATCAAAGCCCCGAAGGCATCGGGGCAATGGCAGGTGAAAGCCCAGAAGCAAGGACAACCTACTCATGCAACACATCCTCATCTTATGCAAGAAGGAGAGGTATTACATCTTTCTTTCAAATAATCATGGCAGTTTATTTACAGTTTTGCTACCAGTGGTTTCACTCTACTATCAGTATCGTGAAACCACTGGTAGCAAAACATCTTATATGACTTGCAGAAATGTTATGTGGCATGTCTAGAATAGTCTGTCACATCTTATCTGCAAGGTCAACACTCGATAATTAGCCTTTGTGAGCTAATCAATTATCCATTAGTCACTGAAATTTTACTATATTATTTTATTATATATATTTTACATACACAACATACTCTGATATTTAATATTGCCATCTTGATGTGGTTTCACACTAAATTTATCTTACATTGTTTATTTTACCAGGATTCCATCTCTCAGTCACATGTGTACAAGTCCAGTATACCAAACTCTCATTGCCCTATATTGTTATTGATTTTTATTGTGTAGAAAAGACAATAAGAGCATGGTTTGTATTGTTTATTGATCAGTTTGTAAGACAAGGTCAAGGCCACCCAAATCCAAGTTCTCTTAACAGTGAATACTCTGGAAAATATATCCATTGGATTGTAATTTGCTCATTTCTTTTGTTAATAAGGAAATAATTATGTAAGACTTATTGAGTAAATTTTATGTTGATGTTTTTACTTCACCTGCAATGTATTGTAATGCTTATGTGGTCAGTACTGATGGTGACACATGATATAAGCATTGTGGTATTTTTTATTGCAGCTAGGAGCATTCAGAATTCAGAGTTTGCAAAGTATCCATGTGGAAAAATCTGAATAATACCTTTCTAGTTCTATCTGTTTTGATATTTTAGCTTTTGCCAGGAGTGAGACTAGACGAATTTCAAGAGAGAAGATTTCGTCTTATGGAAGGAATTCACAAACATGCTTCAAAACATGACAACAATTTGAAGCAACACCTGGTAGTTATACCATCAGCTACAAAAGTTTATATGACGCAGAAAATTCCATATGTGTTTCGTCAGAACACAGACTTTCTGTACTTGAGTGGGTGCCTTGAACCAGATAGTGCCCTAGTTCTAACTGGAATGAGAGGAGATGATCATTTATCTACACTATTTGTACGTGAACGTGACACACATTCAGAACTTTGGGATGGACCGCGTACTGGGGTGGAAGGTGCTCCTGCACTGTTTGGTCTTGACCAGGCTTATGCGTTGACTGATCTTGAATCGTTCATTGCATCCTTTATGCGAAGTCATCGGAACTTCATCCTCTGGTATGACTTTATGAATCCAGCCCAGCCGGATGTTCATAGGATCTTACGTGAATTTTTAGGAGATACATGGAATAAGGTATGTGCATTTGGCTGTGCTGTAAACATGGGCTCCAGTTTTCAGTGAAAACATCGAAAATTATCAGTTAATAATAATAATATTAATGAGTTAATAACCTTCGATCTGTTAGAGGTTATTTTCATATGCCAGACCTGAGTTAGATTTTTCATATTTAGGTTTATTTGCCCTGTGGTGTAAGCAATCAAATTAGAAATGTATATTTATTGCAGTGTTAGTCTAGGACAATTTATCTTTTATTATAATTTTCATTTATGTACATATTACAAGAACTTTTTCACAGTGGAATTATTAGTTTTTGGCTATGAGTTGTCATAAGTGGATTTTCGTCTCAGGTCATCTATTGAACTTGAGTGCCGATCCCTTGGTTTGCGTGTAGATGTGGGAGTCACCAAAGCCATTCATCCATCGCCTCCGTCTGCATAAGTCCACAGCTGAAGTGGCTCTCATGAAGGCTTCTTGCAAAATAGCCAGTGATGCCATTAATGCTACCATTGCATCTTCATATCCTGGCATTACTGAACACCAGCTGTTCGCACGTGTGGACTACGAGTGTCGGATGACAGGGGCAGAGTATCTGGCATATCCACCTGTGGTTGCTGGTGGAGATCGAGCCAACATCATTCACTACATCAACAACAATCAAGTTGTGTCTGAGGGAGAGATGGTTCTTATGGATGCTGGTTAGTTCAATCATATTTTTTATGGAAACATCATTTAAGTCAATGGGAGTAAAAAAAATTCCATAATTTGAAAAGACAGGAAGTCACTTTTATGTCATTTCTTATTCTTATTCCCTGCCTTTTTTCCTTCCTGTGTGTTAGCATGTTTTGTGTTTATGGTTCCACAATTGTTTTGTAGATACCCCAGAACATATATGGATGTCTGTTTGCATCCACAGGATATCCAGACTGTAAGTAGTGTGTGTGTGCGCGCACATGCATGTGCATACATGTTACACTTGCATCAAGTTAACTGCAAAACAGTTATGAATCTCATTAGGTATCCAGTAACTGTTTTATATTTTTAGCCTTCTGGTTTCTGAGTAATATTTATTATGCTGTTATCTCATTGGACAAAATGCATAAGACAGTGTTCTTATTCAGTTTAAAATTTTGTACTTCTCCCTATAATCTTTCCCAAATATTTTGGTACAGATCTCTGTTGAGTCCTTAAAAACTTTATTTTCCCAAGCCACGTTTCCCTTACACCTTTTTTTTATTGCTCATTATTTATATTTGTATTGACACAGATTATATGAATAAAATTATTGAGTTCATATTTTCAAGTGAAACAAGAATTTATTTGTAGGGAGTTGTATACTTTAGCAAATTTGTCGAGTCTCTATTATTTTTGTTTCTTTTACATATTCAACAGATTTTAGTCATGATAAATTCTTCATAATATTTAATATTTTTAGTAAAAATAGTAACTTAGTGGATGAAATTGTAATCTCCATTTGAATGTTGTTGAATTTCTGTTGATGTCCAAGGTGGCATTAAATATTTAGTAAAATAATATTTGCAGTATGAAAAAGTATAATGACATTGTCCGTTTTTGTTCTGAACAATGTTTGGAAGTTGGATGTTCTTTCATTTGTTGATTATTTGTTATTCTAATAATGTTCTGTGTTATAATTTTCATTTCTTCTGACAGCATGAAGAATTGAACCCAGTACACTTTGATTACAGACTTAATTAATATTTTAACCAGTAGATGACTGAGTCGGTGAAGTTTTATTCTTTGTCAAGGCTGTGAATATCATGGCTACAGCAGTGACATCACACGAACGTGGCCAGTGGATGGGCGCTTCTCCCAACCTCAGCGTGATCTGTATGAAGCTGTGCTGTCAGTTCAGACTGAGCTGATTAGAATGTGTGCAACCCTTCCTTCATTGGACAATCTGTTCCATGCCATGTGCACATTGCTTGGGCAGCATTTGCAGGAGCTTGGTGTTCTTTCTTCTCGCGCTACAGAGGAGGAACTTTCAAGGGTGAGTAAAGTGTCAGACATAACCATGGCTTTTTAAACCCTTCCCACGTGGCATTTAATGCATTTTCTATTATTGGAGTTTTACTACCTTCGTGTTAAGGCACCACAGAGAATGGAAAAATATTATACTTTTGTTGCGATGAATGGCACCTAAAAGCATTCTGGATCAAGCAGTCTTTGAAGACAGTTTTGTTTCAGTAGGTGTTGTGTTATATGCATATCTGTGTATATTCATGATGGAATTTAAATATTTTTCTTATTGAATTCTGAAAATTTTATCTGAAACATGTTTGTGTATAGTGAACAGTGGACAAAATGTCCTTGGAAGAGGTTATTTTCAATTCTGAGTAAAGTGGGATTGTTGGGGAATTTTCTGATAAGTCATAATGTTGGACAATAACAAATATTTGTACAGTAAATTTACAGTATATACATATGTAACAGTTATGTGTGTCTTATGCATTTCTGTATTTAGGCTGCATACAGTTTCTGCCCGCATCATGTGAGTCACTACCTTGGCATGGATGTTCATGACACTGCTCTCATCCCACGCAGTGTCCCTCTTGAACCAGGGATGGTGATTACTATAGAGCCAGGTAAATTGTTCGTGTACAATATATATTTATTTCTTTGAAATTGAAAGAGTGAATATTCTGACATTTTTTTTAGTCATGGTAAGAGACAGCACTTATCACAATAATCATTATTAACTCTTTGATTTGTAAGGTTTGTTGCCATCTATTGGAACCTAGGATATAAAGTGCTTTTTCTTTCATACTTTAACATGTTCAACAACATTATCATATTTCTTCTTCTTCTTCTATGGCTCTCCGGTCTGTATTCGGTCCATGGCCTCCTCAATTCTCCTCTTCTATTCGGTCCTCTGTTAGGTCCGTCTGTCCGAGTCTTTGATCGAGGTTTCGAAACATCTTCCTTTTTACGATGCAAGGTTGTTAGCCTTGCGACCAACCCCCAACCTGGAGGACCAGGGTACCTGTCTTAGTCTGACCTCTCCCCTTCGACCAATCGGACTGGGGAGGCCCTACCAGTAGCTATGCTACCGCCAGCATAGCTCTTGGGGTCGCTGAGGTACTCAAGCCCGACCACCACAACAAGGTGCAGGTACCATTAAGTGGGGACATTATCATATTTAGTCCAAAATATATCATATAAGGTAGTATAAAGTCTAAGTCAGGGTGATAATGGAGGCAGCAGGGACCTCTGAAACGTTGATAAACTTCTACAAGACTACACTGCACAATACCCCAGAAGACAGCTATCTTCTTCCCCGATTCTAAGAACAGTGTGGAGATATTAATTCACATATTGTAGGTCTTGGCACTAGGTGGAAGTGAGTCAAAATATCGTATGATTCATCAAAGTTATTACCTTCACACTATTCCATATCTGTAGGTAGTAAATGCATGAAGATCGGTTGACCAGACTTTACTAGAATGATCAAATCAAGGAAGATGCGGTGGTCAGGACATGCAGCTCATGTGGAAGATGAGAAATGTGTACAAAATTTTGGTTGGAAAGCCTGAAGGGAAGAGATCATTCAGAAGACAGATGGCAGGATAGATAATAAAAAAGAATGAATTTTAGAAAAATGGGTTTGGAGAGAGTGGATGGCATTACTCTGGCTCAGGATAGGGGTTGGTTTTGGTTTCTTGTGGACATGATAATGAACTTTCTGGTTCCATAAAAGGCAGGAAATTTTTAATATGAATTTAAGCCTTTTGTGTTTTGTTTAAAAGAAATATGAATGGTTTGGAGCATCTCAATATGACCTTAGATGCCCTGAAGGTTGATCCATTAGTTCCATTACTTCTAAATTATTAATTTTATGTAAGATTTGAGGTTTTCACAGTGATGAGTATGAAGATTTCTGTCTTCTGTGTTGTTGCGCTGTCTAGTCTGGTCGATGCTAACCAACGTTTCAGAGGTCATACTGCCTCCGTCATCAGGGCAACAACCCAGAAGACAGAAATCTTCATTATTAATTTTACGTTTGTTGTTGGTGACATTATTTTACTACTGTTATGGAAGTATTCTATTTTGGCTGTTGTCCGTTGTCTGGATTGAAAAGATGCATGACAGTTTGTAGGCTGGCTCAAATTGCCCAAAGAGAGTACTTAACTAAAGTAGACATTGCTTCATTGTAAGTAGGATTTGAGGTTTCCATGGCAGCTTATATGTATTATAGTGTTGTGTAGTCTGCACCCTAATGATGGAGGCAGTAAGCACTTTTGAAACATCGGTAAACTTCTACCAGACTACACAGTGCTACAACATAGAAGACAGTCACCTTCATTGCACTACTGGACTCATAGGAAGTTAATTTTTGAATGTCCATTTCATGTTACAGAGAACTGGTGACTGTTATCTGTCAGTTACTTATAAATATTTATTCTTTCTTAGTTATGGCTATTTACTTTTTTTTATAAATCTCTAACAGGAATCTATGTGAGTCCACGGAACAAGCTGGCACCCTCAAAGTACCATGGTCTTGGAGTACGAATAGAAGATGACGTTCTTATTACTGCTTCTGGACCTGATGTCCTTACTGTTAGATGTCTGAAACAGATTAGTGATATAGAAACCCTGATGAGCGATGCACATTCTATGGACTTATAAACACAGATTTCTATGCCTTGCCAAAACCACAGAACTAGTGCCAAATTATCATAATTGATTAAGAAATAATTTGTGTGATTATTTCTTGCTAATGGTGATAATAATAATAATAATAATGGAGAAGTATGTGGTGTATGTAATAATTTTGATTATTTTTATAGCAGTGCATGACATACGATCTTGGTTATCCAAATGTGACATTTTGATGTGTGCTTGTTACATCAGTATCTGTATTCGCATGCTAAGAACATGCCCTGTGATGATTCGTTATCAATAGTATTATAATGAGTTTAGTTTTGGTTAGGTAATACAATAATGCAAACTATTCAGAACTTTTTTGGGGCGGTAAACAATTATCAGGCTGGTACTGTGGAGTAGGTCTCATTTATGTAGTGCTTAACTCACATATTTTATTGTGCAAAGTTTCAGTGAGGTTTTTATGGCAGTGTAGATGTCAGTATTGGTCTTCTTAGTATAATGCTGTGTGGACATGTAGGTTGGTAGCATCTTCAAGACTGAAGTGAGGTTGTTGGAAAGTGTAATTTATGTGTGGTCAGGAGAAGGAACAGGCTAAGACACCTACTGAAGTTGATGTTTAAGGAGGAGGTGGTCTGGGTCTGGCCTAGATCAGGGGTTCTCGCCCTTTACCGCTGGCGTACCACTAATTCTAATATAAGAAATTAACTGTACCACTAACAAAATGCATTCAAGGAAAACTTATTTTTGTTAATATTATCTTTTGATTTTCTTATTTAGTTTGCATACCACAAGTGGTACACGTACCATAGGTTGAGAAACGCTGGCCTAGATCATCTCATTCCTTGACTCTGGTTTCCAAATTCCCTCAGCCTGATCCTTCTCTTGACCCCATGTAAACTGTCCACTTCCCGTCAGCCTTGAAGATGGAAACAGTATATTCCACCAAAATATTTATATCTGCAACTCAAGTCCACACAGCATTTGTAGTGAAAAAGTTCTAAATATGTCATCATGCCTCTTTCTTTTATTTTCTTCTTCTTCTCTCTCTCTCTCTCTCTCTCTCTCTCTCTCTCTCTTTGTATTAAGATATTTTATCAGAAAAGCAAGTGATGTATGTTTGTGTACATTTTGGTCATAACTATGAAATGTGCAATTTTAAAACATTATCATATAAATTTTAACCCCTTCACTATTATGGACAGAGCTGTTATGCTAAATCCTGTACCATTTTATTATTTGTTTCATTAAATTCCAGGGCAAGGAAAAAATGGACATTAGATGTGATTTTAATTTTAAAATTTAAAACGAAACAGTATATATCCATAATATGCATAAACTAAATATTTTGTTGATATTAATATTTACTGAGTTGAATATTGGCCAACAGAAAACTGATTGATATCTTTTCTTCTTCTCAAACTAAAAAAGGGTTAAATAAGCTGTAGCAAATAATGGACAACTGGCTAATGGCAACTGTATTGCAGCATGAATATATGGCATAATAAAAATATATAAAATTACATTTTCTGTTTGAATAAAATAATTTGTAATTATACGTTTTTAAGCCACAGTCTTCTCCTCAGGTAAATTTATTGCTGTCTGACAAGTGGATGGAGAACTGTAGGAAAAGAATGGGAGACGTAGACATCCTGTGAGACAGAGACGGTGTGTGGAAGACCCTGAGTGATGCAGAGTCTGGTTGTACAGATGCCTGGTGAGACAGAGCGTGAGCTTGGCTCAGAACGGGTCTGGCAGAGATTGATAATGGTAAGGATCAGTTCAAAATTTTCATTTTTTTTAAAAAATCTAAATATGCTGGAAATTGTCTAAAAGGCGCACAAAATCAAATATTTTTGAAATGTTTGAAACAATTTAAGTTAACAATTAACCAGCGTTTTGGGCAATTTCCAGCTTTTTTTCTCGATTTTATGAAAATTATGAAAAATTTGAACTTTTTTAAAATTTTCCCCTACTCACCACTGTCAGAAACGGTCTCCACCAGACCTCATCTTTGACGTACTGGGTATCTAACGGACCCGTGCTTTGTGTGACACTATCTCTACTGGTCCGTCTCAGTAATGAACGGTTACAGCAGAGAACAGGAGACGTAGACATCGTGTGAGAGACGGTGTGGAAGATACGGGATGCAGAGACCATGTCTGACAGAGACCGGTTGAGCAGAAGCCCGGAGTGACTAAGGGCAAGCGTGGCAGAAAATGAGTCTCCCAGAGATCGATAATGGTAAGGTTCAGTTCAAAATTTAACAATTTTTTTTAAAAAATCGAAAAATACTGGAAATTGTCTAAAACGCGCTCAAAATAAAAAAAATTGAATGTGAAATTTTTCAATTTTTTTTTTGTTTTGTGCGCTTTTTGGACAGTTTCCAGCATTTTTTGATTTTTCGGAATTTTGAAAAATTTGAATATTTTTTCTAAACTCTCACCAACAGATGTATGCCAAACTCGGTGAATGACTAACCCTGTCTCTGCCGGACTCGACCTCTATCTCGCCCGGTTGCTGCTTGCCTCAGTGTCTCCACCAACAGGCCTTTGCAAGGCCTCCGTCTCTGCCTTACCTGTTGTCTGCCGCACCAGAGCTTTTAAGAGGTGGCACCTCAGAGACGTGTCACACAGAGACCGAGTCAGGCAGGCACAGACCGCGTTCGTCAGAGACACAGTACATCAGAAACAGTCCAACAGAGACCGGTCCTGCAAGGCGTCAGGTGGTGGTAATTTTGAAAAATTTCAAAATTTTCAAAAAATCAAAAAATGCTGGAAATTGTCCAAAAAGCGCAATAAACCAAAGCAAAATTGAAAAATTTCAAATTCAATTTCTTTTTTTAAAATTTTGAAAATGAAATTTTGCAATAAAGATTTTTTGAAAAATTCCACCTTAATTTTTTTTCAAAATTTTAAAAAAAAAATGGTTGTGTACGCTTTTCAGACAATTTCCAGCATTTCTTGATTTTTCGAAAATTTTCAAAACTCTCCCGAAGAGATGCATGCCAGTCTCCGTGGAAGTCTCCCCTATCTCTGCCGGACTCGGCCTCTCCCTCACCCGGTTGCATCTGCCTCGGTGTCTGCAGCAACCGGCCTATGCAGGACTCGTGTGAACCGTGTCTCTGCAAGTGGGCTTTTCAGAGACGGAACGTCAAGGACCATATGAGGTAATGACCGCGTTCGTCAGAGACAAAGTACATGAGATACAGTCGGACAGCGACCAGTTCTGCAAGGCATCACGTGGGGAGAATTTTGAAATAAATTTTGAAAAATTTGAACATTTTTTGGAAATAAAAAAATGCTCGAAGATGTCCAAAAATCGCACAAAACTAAGAAAAATTGTAAAATTTTGCATTCAAAATTTTTTCATGATTTTAAAAAAACGTTTTTCGCTTTTCAATCAATTTCCAGCATTTTTGAGTTTTAAAAAATTTTGAAATTTTTTTTAAAATATCTCCAAGAGATGACTGAAAAATCGGTGAATGTCTGTATGCGTCTCTGCAGGCCTCGGCTTCTATCTCACCCGTTTTCTGCCTATCTCTGTGTGCAAAAACCGACCAGTCCAAAGTCACGAAGTGACCCAAGTTCCGAAAAGTCCTAAGTCGTGAGAAATCGCATGTCCCAAGTCTTCAGAAGTCACTTGTCCCAAGTCTTGAAAATTCACTTGTCCCAAGTCTTGTGAAGCCACTTGTACCAAGTCGTGAGAAATCGCATGTCCCAAGTCTTGAGAAGTCCCAAGTCCTTAGAAGTCACTTGTCCCAAATCGTGAGAAGTCACATGTCCCAAGTCTTGAGAAGTCACTTGTCCCAAGTCTTGAGAAGTCACT